AGCGTGAGGTGACGGCCATTTAAAAAGTCCGATCCAACTTCCAGAGTTAAAGTTTTGTAAACACATGTTAAACATATGAGCGTAAAAACATATAATGGTGATTAGAGCAGACATCATTTTTGCTGATGCAGCTGACTTGATTTCCCTTGTTGAACCAGCAGAGGACTCTAAGACTGTGCAGCCTTGACCTCCTTTCCCCAGCCTGAAAAAACAGAAAGGACGCCAGCTCCTTCTGCTGTGCCCAGGGATCTCCACGCCAACGGGATCCGAAAGCATTTGAGGCAACAGTGACAGCTGAATTGAGCAGATGGAACCCAAAAGTATTAGCAGTGAAAGACAGAGCACTTCCATTTGGAAATCGAAGTTCTGACGAGGTATTTAAAACCCATTATTTTACATCCTGGGGCTTGTGTTTTAAGCTAAATCTGTAACGTGTAATAAAGCATGTCATGGCTACAGAACAGGTGTGTGTTTTTGTCCCTTTTCTTAAAGGTGAGCATGTGCCCAGTGACATAGACTGCTGAGCCTTAGAGACGGAGGAGTCAAGTCTAATCTCCTGGCTTCAAGCTTAATTTAGAAGAAACGAAAAGGAAACCAACCATGAAGAAGTCATGTGACCTGAGCAACACTACCCACCCAGACAATGACAAAGCTACAAACCTAACCTCCAGCTTCACTGTTGTCCTTAATTATTGTTATCCCAGCAACAGAACTGAAATGAAAGCTAGGGAAGGAATGAAATCAAACTCCTTCCATAAACTACCTAATCTACAGGAGAACCCTACTCAGTGGGCGTGGCTACACCCAGTCAGGTCTTGGAAAAGACAGACCGTTCTTTGCCACCACAGACAAGCCAGGAAAGGACTGGATTAGAAACTAAACACTGTCCATCTTCTCTGCTGCTCGCTGGTTTAAATGGAAAACAAAAGTGGAAACACATCCCGAAGTTTGGGTTTTCTGACCTTGTGATACTTGGTTAACCTTTTTTTTAGGAATTGTGTATATGGCTGTCTGGAAGTGAGAAGATAGTTTCTTTACCACATTCTATCATGTAGAATTTTTCCCTTTAATACTGAGTGCCCACCTGCTGATTAGCTTGAGTCAAGGAAACTCCCTCCATCTTGGTTGTGTGAGTCTCGAGGAGCAGAAAAGAGCATGGAAGCAGCAGCCAGGTGGACACTGTCTGCCATCAGCCCTCACCTTCTTACCGTCAAGGGCAGTCCTTCATGCGTCCCAGTGACAGACAGTCAGCACTGACAGACGAGGCCACTGTGAGAGTCAAGACAGCAGAGTAGACAGACAGTGCCCACTGGAAACGCAGAACAGACTTTTTCACAGCTACCATTAAAACAGAAGCAGAGTAAATGAGGACCGCCGCCACCCCAAGCTGTTGCCTTCTCTGCCTCCGTCGGCCCTTACTTTGTATGTGCTACTGTCATTCACTTTAATGAATCCTTGGAATTAAAGATTGGGACTAACTCTTCCTTTCTTCATAGGGTCCCAGGACATAAACTAATGGATGACTGGTTTTATAATTTTTAGACAAGAGCTATTTAATTCCCTAAAATCCACACATGCTGATTTGTGCTTTTCAGGGGTGGTTTGAAGGGTTTTCATCTTCCTAGGCAGAACCCCTGTGGCTCCCACGTTGCTCTCTAGCTGTTGGTAAAGAAGCCAGCACAGCTCTGCTGAGCTGGTCAGGGGAGCATGGCTGGACCTCCCTGCCTCACCGGCTCTTGGGGGATTTGGAGACTCCCTCCTGGGCAGGAACAATGTGGGGTACAGAGCTGAATGCTAACAACTTCCCAGACTTTAACCAATGTTTTCTTAACCAGAGAATCCAACCAAACAACCAGACACGTCTGAAGCTCGGGCTGTGTGTCTGAACACTGTGTGCCTGGGTGCTACCTGATCAGCCGGGACCCGCTGGCACTGAGAACAGGCCTGTCCGTGCCCCATTTATTAAGAGCATGTAAGATGGTCAAAAATAAAAACCCTACCCTCGTAAGGTTTCCATTTCCACAGAGGGAGAAAGAAAACCCACACAGTAAAGCAGACGGCGGCTGCTGCGAGCAAGATGGACATGGGGAATCAGGGCTTCCGGGAATTCGGAGCTACAGCCTTGACTGAAGTGGTCGGGAGTCTACCTGAGGGAAAACTGAGGGTGTGAAGGGCTCCACTTGTAGCCCTTCGGGGAGTGTGAGGGCCAAGCAAGCCTCGGGGGATGTTCACAGAACAAGGAAGTCCTGAGCGAATTTACATGTAACCATGGGCACAGTGCATCAAGGACTAGGCCTCAGGTGCCTGGGATGCTGCACAGCCTTTCCCTTTGGGGTGATGCTCAAGAAATAGTCACTCCTTCCTCTGAGCAAGTGTTGGCGGTGCGTGTGGAGCATGTCAGCTCCCCCTCACACTGCGGTCTACAGAGGCCTCCCACTGACACTACCCCACCCAGAGCGGCACACGCTAAACAGTAAACCAGCTGAGTTCCAGGCTGTGGTGACCGGAGCCAGCTGGGCTCCTCTGTCCGTGTGTCTTTCCTTTCTTCATTGCGTCAGCTCGTCTAGTCAGGTTTCCTGGACCTTTCCTTACAGGGAAGGACATTCTTGGCAAAGCAGGCACTGCACACACCAGGCCGTGTGGGCGAAAGGACTGACGTGGGAGGAGGAGAGGTGAGGACAGCAGGGCTACCATAAGGGGGGGGTGTGTGTGTGCCTTACACTCAGGGAGCTGGGACAGTCGTCTGAATCATAGGCCACTGGGATTGACAGCCTTGACCTTGCTCCCTGCCAAGAGCTGATAGTGCCGCTCCTGGTGCTGCTGCCGTGATGAAAGGACAGCTGCTGGAGTGTAAAAATGTGCTCATTTACGGGAAGTACAGTAACACGTGCAGGAGAACGGCACTCGACAGAGGGAAAGCCAGCACTCTGAAGTCTAACCTAAAAACTCAAGTTAAACGCCGTGAAGGGCTGGGCAGATGGGCCAGTGGGTACAGTGCTTGTTCATGAGTGTGAGAGCCAAGTTTGGCTCCCCAGAACCTGCAGAAGGCGAGACTCTGCAGTGTGCACCCGTAATCCCCCACCTCAAGCCTGGTGCACACAGCAGCCAGCAAGAGCGCCAGCAAGCCAGGTGGAAGAGGGAAACTGCTGAGGCTGTCTCCTGACCTCTGTACACACTGCAGCATGTGTACCCCCCCCCCCGTGACTGCCCCCACGGTGTTAGCGCAACTGAATGAACTTGTCAGTCAACAGCCCTGAAAACTGCCCCTCTCCTTCCTGGAAGTGTCTGGTTCCTGGCTAACATGGATTTTCACTCACAGAAGCTGCAGCTAAGTCTGTCAGTTACCCCAGACTGAAGCTTAAATGTAAGCTGGCGTGCACACAGAACTCTCAGATCCGTGTGGCCTGGCTGTGCTGAGGCAAGATGTGTGGAAAGGAAACACCTATTTTCTAAATGACTGTTAACGTGAAAACACATGGTTCCAACCCAGACAACCAAGAACGGAAGACACAGGCATTTCGTGACAGAGTTTAAAAGTTAATACACCACACCTGATACTTAGATTAGTGCTTTAAGTAGCTAAACTAAGTTGCAATGCGTCTCTTAAGCAGTCATTGAACGAGCAAGATGAGAAATAAATTGAGTTCCTCATCGGCCTTTCTGGCATCTAGCAACTCTGTCAACACACGGATCCTTTTCCCTGTCAATTCAACACACACTTTGCAGACCTTGGGCCTGTAATTATTTCATTTCCTTTCTTGGAAATGTAATTTCCACTTACTTTTGGAGAATAAAAGGCAGACAAAAGGAGGAAGGAGTAGCAGTATTTTCTGATTAAGATTATCTGTGTAAAACGGTGAAGGGGAAAAAATCTATACACTTGTACTGGAACGTGCCTCAGAAACTAACTTGTCTCGGCCAAATTGCTTTTGTGTCTGGATATTGGTTCAAATGCTGCCAGATTGCTGATGTTGAATTAGTGCTGAGCAAATTTAATAGCAAAGTCAAAGAATGAATATGGATCATCTTTCTGGGAGATGCAAACAGCTCCCAGCAAAGAAAGGAAACAGGACTGCAAGAATACATGCTTTAAAAAAAACCACAGTGAAATTAGATAAGACTGTAAATCAGCAAAGAGGGCCATTCGTTCCAAAGGAGATGGGGTCTCAAAGGTCCCAGTGAGAAGAAGCATGAGAGGAAGAAAATGCCAGTTGGCAAAAATAGATCCAAATTGAATTTCAACTTCATTTGTCCAGGTTTTGCCTTTTAAGCTAAGACAGCAAAGACTACAAAGGAGGGGTCTCTCCCTGACAGAACAGGAAATCAGAGGTTTAATTAACTGTGATTACAAGATTCGGCTGATCTGATTGGCCTCACCTCTTCCTTTTCATTAAGTGACAATCTAGTTGACATCCTGGCAAGAGAATTAGAGAGCAACTGTAGACTAATTTCAGACGAGCTTGCTATTGTCACACAACAGGCTGTCCTCCACCACGCTGGTCTGCAGCGCCTTCAGCGGCAGGATCAGACCTAACAAAGGGTCACTTGAAGTTGGTGTCTATAGATAACCCTGCATGCGGCACAGTCAGTCTCTGCAAAGAACAGGATGAAGGAACATCTGTCAGGGGCCAGAAAATGATGCTGAACAAACAGGGGCTCCAAAGGAGTATAAAAGATATAGAACCTTCTTCGGGGGTGGGGACTGTTGAGCATGACAGCATTTCACTTGAAAAAGACAGATGTCTTCTGGTGCAGAGATACCAGCCAGGTCAATTCTTTGTGTAGGAGAAGAACCCAGTGACTAGACCAGGTTGGAGGTGTGGTCTTTACTTTGGAGATAAGGAAATCACCAATCTGGGAGCCCAGAAGCAGAAGCTTAAGGGGGAAAGGGATTGGCAGGCCACACCCAGGTCTTTCTGAAGAGCAACAGATCAAAGAAATGCATGTCAGTCATTACAGATGCGTCTACCTTCTACTTAACAAAGAGCGTCGTTACTTACTGGGCAGTAACCTTGGAGTTCGTGCATCCTTCCAATTTACGGGGCCCTTCACCTGGCTCAGGTGTTGGGGGGCTGTTGAATTCTGCCTCCAGAGTTTTCTTGGTCAAGGCTGTTTTTGTTACACTGGATACAGAACCCAACACAGGCATGGATTTGGACTCTGAGGTGGCTAATATCCCGGGAGGACCTTAAAACCAAACACATACCTCAAGTTTAATAATTCTGTTTGATGTTTAGTAATGGAGTGAAAGATTAGCTGAAAAGCCCACAGGAAGAAAAAGACCAACTTGGTTAAAAAAGTTTAAGCACATGCTAAGAGAAAAAAACAAGTCCCTACTCGAGGTCTGCTTGGCTCTGCGGGTAACTTGACCTTTCAGTGTAACTGAGGCATGCTGGGAAATTGTGTGCAGACCTTTGAGAGGCCACAAAACGACAGGCCACACTCCCTTCACTGACCCGTGCTTAGCAATACTGCAATTGTGGGAATCTTTTCTTCTTTCCGAATATGGCCTTCTGACTGCCCTGCTTGAATTTTGCCTCTTAAGAGTTAATTCTTCCGAAAACTCAGCTCTGCATTTTAAACAGAAAATGGACCGATGTCAAAAGGTTCTTTCTAAAAGGCTCAGGAAGACTTCTTGAGCATTAAACAGCTTTTATGAACATTTTCATTTTAATGTGAATGAGCAGTAAGTGGATTTATTGCCTCTTTAAAAATACAGACACAAGATTATAAAAATTAAGTGGCCAAGAATTTGGGCTGTTTACCTTCTGGACTCTGCTGCTCTTTGGGACAGGATTTAAGGGCTACAATAGGGCCTGCTACTGAAATGATTGGCACAGCGCTCAAGAGCTCCCGGGCTGAAGCTGAGCTCACCTGAGCTTCCAGTAGGCAGCATGCCTCAGAGTACAGCTGCCTCGACTTCAGAAGGAGGCTTTTAACAGAGAGCATGGCCAGACAATTCACAAATATGCAAATTAAATAACATCAAAATGAAGTTAGAACAGAGCCTTGGAGGCACCACTGGAAGAGAACAGACTTGGGGATTAAAGACTGCCCGGGGGCCAGGCTGTGGCTCACTCAAAGAGCGGCTTGCAGAGCAGGCAGCGTCCTGGGCCCCAGTGCGGCATACGCTGCTGGTGCTCACCCATAAGCCTGAAAGGGGTGGAAGCGGGAAGATCAAGAGCTCAAGGTTACTCCTGACTACATGCCAAGTTCAACAAGAAAGAAGCAAAAGGAACCATCTCCCGAATCGGTATTATACAACCCAAAATGCTAGCGGACCCTTCCTAGTAAAAGCTCGGCAGTTATGCTTCTCGTGTGGCTGTGACTGTGGCCGAAAACCCATCCAGAGGGGCTGAAAATGTGCTCAGCAACTCTGCTCTCCCTTAGCCTGACTCCAAGATGCACAGCCATCTGGTCTGGTGGTGTGTGTGACATTCTCACCTCCTGTCTGGGCAGACAGGGTGCCACGAGTCTCCCCTTAGAAGGCCTTTCTTTTCCTACAGCTACGATGTGCCTCGAGCTGCAAGGGTACAGGACACAGACAAGGGCAGAACAATCAAGCATAAAGCTTCTGGAGAACAGTGATCTGAAGTCGAGCTCAAGATTGGCCTCAGCTCAGTCCTGCTTGGTCCTCGTAACTTGACGGCATAGTAGCCAGCATTAATAGTCTGTCCTCGCCAGAAGACCTTGACTAACCAACACCGGCGGCTTCTGTCTAGGCTGAAGCCACTAAAACAGGAGGCAGCGAGCTGAGCCAGGCCTACGTCTTCCTTACAGACAAGAAGAAATGTAGAAGGCACAGGTGCGTGGTGCCTACCTCATCCTAGTTTCCCCAGCCGATTGCTGCTCGCTGACTGGTCAGTCTGAAAGGGCCACCAGGCTGGCAGACACAGGGAGCAGCGGCTAGACCCAGAAGGAAAGGCAGGAAAATGGGGCATCCTCAGGCGCTAGCCGGGGGTTGGGTCTACAAGGCCCGACTGCTTCCCGAAATCTCAGTGCACAAGAGCAACGTTACAGGTCCCTGTGCCACAGACCTGAGCTCATTCATGCTCACTCATCTGTCACTTCTTTCCTGACATGACTGAACATAGCTGGGGCTGGCCTCAGACTCAATATGTAGCTGAATACGACCTTGAATTCCTGCCTCCGCCTCCGCCTCCGCAGAGCTGGGTGCAGGTATGCACCTCCGTGCTGTGACGTGGCCCCGGGGTAGGACCTAGGCCTCAGTACTCTTCGTAGAGCTCCGTCCCCCAAACCCACTGGATTTTATCTTTTATTCTAACTTCCCTTGAATGGGACTGAAGCACTCCCGGTCTCATAGTGACGAAAACCAGTGTCCTCGCCCCCACTGAAAAAAACTGAAGCGGTGAGCACCGTGTATTTGACTAAACCTATGAACGGAGAACGTTTCTGGAGAAAGGAGAAGGTGAAGGGAAACACAATGGAACTGACAGTAGTGAAAGTACTGCCGAGCCCAGCCGAGAGCGAGGGACCTGCAGGAGCGCCTTCAGGGGCTCCTGGGAAGGCCGGCGTAGGCACCAAGCCTCCAGACGGCTGGACGGAAGGGGCTGGCCCTGTCACTGCAGTAAAAACTGCCCCAGACTCCCTTCTAGGTCGTTTGCTGGGTGGGAAAAGTCTCCTGGGGGTCCCGCCAGTAGAATTTGCACATGCTGAACAGTGAGTGTTTATGTCAGCATCATTTCCTCTCTCACCGTCCTAGTGCTCGCTCTGCAGGCTCAGCTGGCTGTCTACTATGGTGCCCGCTTGTCTCCCATCACATCATGGATTTAAAAGTGTGGGCTCGCTAGCCACAGTGGCACACACCTATAACCCCAGCACTTGGGGAGGCAGAGGCAGGTGGGCCTCTGGGAGTTCAAGGTTAGCCTGGTCTATAAAGAGAGTCCAGGACATCCATGGCTACACAGAGAAACCTTGTCTTGAAAAACCAAACCAAACCAAACCAAAACAACAACATCAAAAGTGTGGGCTTTAGGGACTGAATTCAGGGAGTAATTAATTAAATGTCCTCAGACTACTCACGAGTTTATTATAAAGGTTTGGCTGCTTAGCTGGCCAGTTTTGATTTGAGGAACAAGTTTAGCAAAATGCCCTGTAAAGCAGACCTTGGCCACCACAGTTCCATCATGCATGTTCCAGCAAGTTCAGCCACAGGGTGTACCATGCCGAGAACGCCAGCTCCAGAAAGGCTGAAGTGGGCAGGCTGCCCGGGCCATACAACAAAACCTCGTCTCTAAAATAAGCCAAATTCTAGCAACCTAAAGCTGGTCAGCATTTCAACAGACTGTGCTGACCAAGGTCAGTCTTAAAACCTAGGCCCAGTATCTCTAGCTTCTGATTACTGGTCTCCTTTGCTGTACATTTTCAGAGTTAGATTCATGGCTGGCTCCAAGAGGAAACCTTCAGAAAGGTTTCAGCTAACTGTCAGGACCAAATTCATGGAGATGTCAGTATCTGCCCCAGGCCTGGAAGAGATCCTGTGTTGCAGTATGTGGATAACTATGTGACGATGAGCTCACAAGAGGGGCAGAGCTGGAGTCACCGGCAGATTCACAAGTGGGTATGGAGAATGAAGATGATTTCTCTGTGTGTTTAACTGGTGTGTAATTCCCACTAAAACTGCCAGCTGTGCTAGAGTCGGGGCGGGGCTCCTCTTAGGTCCTGGCTGACATCGTCCTGAGGATAATGCTATAGCTGAACACCTGTCATCACAGGAAGGCTGAAGCTAGTCTAAGGGCAAGCAGTGGGCAGTGGCAGTCTGGGACCCCCTGCTGCTGGATTCCACCTGCTGCTGAGTCCTGACAGCATCATCTTGGCGGGGTTAGGTTGGAGGTCCACCCTTTCCTACAGGAGCTGCTGGCGGAAAGAGACATCTGCATTCATGGCACAGCACTGTGAGCTGCTCACATGCCTGTAAACAACCATCGCTGTGCACACAGAAACCAAACATAGACACCAAAACAACCAAACCACAAAACCAAACAAAACTCCACAAAAACAGAAGGGTGACTAGCTGGAAGACTGGTAGGGGCAGGAGCGGGTAGTACACGGGGCTTCGTCCTGGGGTGCCCCGTGCTGAACAGGTCAGACCTACGATGCCTGAACACCTACGAATGAAGATGCTGGTTCTGTGAGCGCCTCAGGAGGAACCACAGACTGTCCTCACCAGCCAGGACTTCTTACTCACATTAAAAAAGCTAAACATTTAATGCTAATGTTTGAAAGATGATTTGATGTTAAAGGGGCTTAAAGGAAGAAGAGAAGATGGTGGAGAGTTCAAATTGGCTTACTACTGCTATCTGCTTCAGCTGTCACCTTCCTGCGACGTAAAATCCTCTCTAACTCAGTTTCACTGTTCTCAGGGCCAAGGGATTTTAAGCTTCTCGAGCTAGTGGATTTGTTAAGTGTCCCCTAAAACAAAAACAAAAAGGTTAATATAATATGCAAAAGAACATAAAACACAAACCAATAAAGCATTGTCAAAATCTGAACAGAATCAAGAAACAAAACAAATGTGTACATGGGATTCTCAGCGGTGCACAGACATTCTCAATGACACAGTACTGGGTTTTTCAAAAGGACGCCGCTGATGGTGAGGATGCTAGCTTCATCTCAGGAGAGCAAGTAGCACAAGGACAGTTCTCAGGGAGCTGACCACGGCCACAGGGAGCCAACCACAACCATAGGGAGCCTACCACTGCTGCAGGGAGCTGAGCACGGCCTCAGGAGCTGATCACGGTCAGAGGGAGCTAGTTGCCCAGCGCTGATGGACATACATGTGCAGGAAGGAGGGGGGAGCATTCCACTCACCTTGGAAGGGCATCTTCACACAGCAGCCAGGAGCTGCTGAGCACAAATCCTGAGAGGCTCAACAGCTGCAAGGCCTGTTACAGAGTGGGCGCGTGGCCCAGGCCGCACACCACATGGCCATGCTGGCTGACACATGGAAGGCCCCGTGTCCCCCTAAGGGCAGGCCCAGCTCCCTGAGTATGTGTGTGGAGGGGAAAGCTGTGTCCTACAGGTGGGCTGCCCCTGTCCTCCTGTCCTATGGTGGACTGACCCGCCCTCCTGTCCTATGGCCCGTGGGCACAGAGCTGTCAGCCCCAGACACTGAGGGTGGGGGCGCCATCAGCCAGGCTCCCCTGGAACTGGCCTCTAAGACAAGGCCCAGCCATTGCCTTCCTTTCAGGCCCTTCCTGACCTCCCTGCCAGGAGAGCTGCTGCCCTCCTCCCCCTCCATGAGTGACTGGACACAGGTGATCATGCAGCTGTCAGTGCCCAGGGCACATTGTTTGTCTGGAGAGCTTCTCCTCACTGTGCACATGTGAGAGACCAGAGCAGGGCAGCGAGGCCCAGCCTGCCGGCCTGAGGCAGCTGCATCCAGCCAGGCCTAGAGCCACCCAGCCTGCGAGTGCAAACTACCTAAGGGCTCTTCCTCCTCTTCCCGCCTTGCACCGGGCTTTCGGAAGTGCACTCGGGCCCTGCTGTCTAGGAATGGTGTCTTTCTAGAGCACAGGACAAGAGAAAAGCTCATTGTGAAAGTCAGGAGGTTGCAAACCTCGCCCAGGCAAAGTTAAACTAATGTTCTCACTGTCCGCAGGCCAGGCCAGGGACAGGACGACACACCTACAGGAGGTGCAGAAAAGAGGTGTGAGGACAAGGCGAGGGGGCTGGGCCCTGCTCGCTTCCCGACTAGCTGACACTCTTGAAGGCCGGGACTCCATTCCAGCAGGTGACCCTCCCCTGGAATGGGACGGTTTGCTTTTTGCTGTTGCAAAGACTTGTGAACTACCTGGAAGGAGCCAGTGACGGGAGCTTATTTACATGTGGAGGCGAGCACGGGCTCAGGAGCAGGCCTGTCGGCTTCCTGGGAAGAGGGGCGAGGCCTGGTGGCCCGGAAGCTAGAGGAGGACCTTCCGCACAAGGCGGAAGAGTGCAAGGATGGCATGCTCTCACGGTGCTTCTGCTGAAGCTCCGGGACTCACGTGGGAGGTGAGTGGGAGGCGCTAGTTGAACACTGCGCTCTCACCTCGGACAGCTGACGGCGCGGTCATGCCAGACCCTCGAGGGGCGTGAGTCTGGGTGGACACGGTGGAGGGGACCTGCAGCCGCCGCTGTGGACACTCCTCACGCTCTCAGCGCTCAGGGGAAACGGTTCACCCCAAAGCGGGGAGGAGCCGCCCCAGCCACAGGAGCCCATTCCCAAGCTCTGACCGGGGAGACACACATACACACACACACACACACACACACACACACACCCTCGAGGACGTGTCCCCAGGACTCCCATGACAGGAGCTTGGCTCTCTGCCCCCGGCCCCCACCCCTGCAGCTCACCTCCCTGTGGTGACCCGAGCCAGGCACTGTCCCAGTGTGTCACACGGTTGTGTGTCACACGGTCGTGCCAGGCCGCCTGTGCCTCTGTGGGACCTGCAGGCTCCTGCCTCTGCTCCTCTGCCTTAGAGAGGCCGCCAGAGCCTCAGGCGCTCGGGGAAGGTTCGGCTTGAAATGTTAGTGACATGAGTCAGAAAAACATGTCAGTCCGAGTTTATGCTTTAAATTCTGCCTTCAAAAGTGTGCCCCTCAGAGAAGGAGCAAAAAATGCCCGTGCCGCCCGACGGACGTGTGGCCTGCGCCCGCCGCCAGCGTGCCTGCCGCTCACAGGTGCCTGAATGCTGCGGGCCAGCCGGCAGGCCGGCCCGACCGGAGGGCGGGCCGCCGGGAGCATGCCTGTGCCGGGGCGTGCTCCGCCAGGGTGCCGGGGCGGGAGGCTCACTGCGGGCCTCAAGCACGCATTGCTCGTCCTGACCCCGGCGGCATCGCCTGCTCTCTGGAGGGTGACCGCCTTCCCCTGCGGACTCCAGCGGGAAGCCCCGCTTTTGCTCACCCCGATGGGCGTGGTCTCCTGCCACAGACCCGGGCCACCGTTCAGATAAGATGATTTCCGGAGTTGCTGTGCTAGTCCCACCCGAATGTCAGAGCTAAGTGCACACTTGGGGCAAGGATGAAAGAACTTCCCGGAACAGTCTTCACAGACCGTGAGTGAGCTCACGAGTCTACCTATGTGGACGCTACAGAATCCTAGAGAGCATCATCCTGACCAGGAAGACTTGAGCTGTGACACAGACTGGCGATAACACACACACACACACACACACACACACACACACACACACACACACACATACACACACACACAAGATCGTTAAATTCATTAAACTTGCTACTGTCCAGCACTACCTGCCACTGACACACTTTTTGCACAATCACGTCTTAGCCACATCTTCTGCCAGGGTGGTCAAATCCCTGGACCTGTGGGGGCTGCCAGGTTAGACGGTGATAGCCCATGTCCAGGTCCGCCAACCACAGCAACCAACCAAGGGCGTCTGCGAGGGGCGACGGTTTAAAGCCATTCCTGGTGGAACAGCGCTGCTCACTGCCATCTCGGGGTGTGCTCATGTGAGAGCACACTGTGTGACAGCTCGCTTCGCTGGAGCGCTTCCTGCGGGAGGCCTAGAGCTGGGCAGCGGTCAGGCCCGGCCACGGCGCCCCTGGGAAAGGAGGCGCACGCAGCTTCAGAGAGTGCTGTGGCTGACACGCGGACTCCAGGGCTGGAGACCCGGCCCAGCTCACAGGATGCCCTCCTGAACAGGCGCGCTGCACGCCCCAAACCCCACGCCTGGGGCCAGAGCCAGGAGGATCACTTCAAGTTCCGTGAGGAAAGCACATGCCCCCCCCCCCCACATGCACGCTCCTGCGCACGCACGCACGCATGCACACGCGTACACACACACACACACACACACACACACACACACACACACACACACACACTGTGTCTGGCTGTGAGCCCAGCAATTCCACGCTCCTCCTGCTCGGGCAGAGGCCTGCACTTCCCACTGCACCGTTGGCACAAGAACACAGACAAGGGCTGAGCGTGTGGTTGCCTTCCAAAGATCAGTCCACAACCAAGCTTTTGCCACATGTGCCGGAGGTGGCCAGAGGCCTGAAGAAACGAGCCTCGCAACCCACGGTAGAAAACAGGACACACCAGTGACACACCCAGTCGCCCACAAGCCGGCCTAGAAGACACCTTTGCCCGTGGCTCGCGCGGCGCTTACCAGGATGCCCTTCAGCTCGTCCACGGCGCTCTCGGGGCCCCGAGCGGGGTCAGGCTGCAGGAGAGGGAGAGAGGTTAGGACACACTGAACTTGTGTTTTTGCTAGCTACGTGTGTGTGTGGCCGGGAGGACAGCCTGTGGGCGGCTCTTCTGAAGAAAAATCGGTGAGACAGTCAAGCTTCTCAGCCCAGGCTTTCTTGGAAACGAGCATTCCCAAGTGTCACACACTTAACCAGGCCACTTCTGCCCACCCAACATCAAGAGACTGGAAACCAGATAATTGTCCTTGTTTAGGGAAACTGACATGCACACACTCGCAGTGCAGGCGGCATGTACCTCTCTCTCTCTCTCTCTCTCTCACACACACACACACACACACACACACACACACATTCGTGAGCACACAGGCGCCACGTACCTTGGGCCTGGCCTGGTTAACCGGCCTGAGGTGCACGCCCCTCTTGATCCTGTCCATCATCTCCTCCACCGCCTGTCGCTTCAGGTCGGTGACCTCCTCGGCTGTGAACAACACACAGATGTCACTGGGGCACACACAGCCGAGTCCTCCCGCTGGTGGTGTGAGAACACATGTCGTTTTCACGCAGCGGCGGGCCACAGGCTCCCCGTGAATAAGAGAAATACGTGAGCAGAACATACAAGTGCAGTAAGTGAGCGGTGTGGAAGTTACTGCCCTGTCTCACCTGTGAGAAACAAACAGGCCTGCTTCACTCTTCCACTCAAGGATAAACTTGGAGATTCGGAGAGCGGCAGCTCCAGGCTTCATGCAAGCACACACTCTCACACACACCTCTCCTTCTCCTGTGTGCGTGAGTGTGTGTCTTTCTGTGCGTAGCCAGGCCGTGTGTGTTGGGCGGTGCTTCGGATGTGAGCTTGGTGTCCCTCTCACCCCCCAGCCCTCTCTCCTCCCTCCTGTCACCTCCAGCCCTCCCCTCTCTCCTGTCCCCAGCCCTCTCCTCCCTCCTGTCACCTCCAGCCCTCCCCTCTCTCCTGTCCCCCAGCCCTCTCTTCTGTCCCCAGCCCTCCCCTCTCTTCTGTCCCCAGCCCTCCCCTCTCTTCTGTCCCCAGCCCTCCCCTCTCTCCTGTCCCCC